GTGCAGGACTTTGTGGGACTTGGAGTGCAGATTTCGTGGCAGGCGCAGGACTTTGTAGACCTTGAAGTGCAGATTTCGTGGCAGGTGCAGTGCTTTGCGGGCCTTGAAGTGCCGATTTCGATTTCGTGGCAGGTGAAGGACTTTAGATGTTGAAGTGCAGATAGATAGATAGATAGATAGGAAAGAAAGACAGATAGAAAGAAAGATAGAAAGATAGATAGATCGAGAGATAGATAAATAGATATAGACAGACAAATGGATAGGTAGACAGCAAAGCGGAGGAATTCCAGCGCAGAAGTCTCTCTTTGCTGTCTTCTTTGTCTTCTTCTTCGGGGTCCTGCTCCCCGCCCAAGTCCAAGCACACCATGCATTTTGCAGGTCCAAGGGTAGAGCTCTCAGAAGACCCAATCGAATCATTTTCGCCTTCAATGATGTCAGACGACCCCACTCAATCATTTGACAGCTTTTCTGGTGCTGAAAGCAAAGCGGAGGAATTCCAGCGCAGAAGTCTCTCTCCCTTGTCTTCTTTGTCTTCTTCGGGGTCTTGCTCCCCGCCCAAGTCCAAGCGCGCCAGGCATTTTGCAGGTCCAAGGGTAGAGCCCTTAGACGACCCAATCGAATCATTCTCCCCCAGCATGATGCCAGCCATCCATGTCCAAAATGCGTTTAGTCATTCTGGTTTCCTTCCGTTTTTTCCCCGCAGACCAGGTCAGTCATCCATGGGTTTTGAGTTTCGTGATCTTGGATTTCACGCTCAAGCTTCTCCATCTTTTGCTTTGTCGCTTTCCCCCACATTCAGGGACAACTCAAGTGACGTGGCATCTCAAGCTCCACAGATGATTGGTTCTGGCAAAAGTATCATTTGCACCCACTACATTCCACCTGTCATGCCGCACTTTGACTCCTGTTCAGAGTCTGACTTTGACTTGTCCTGTTCAGAGCCTGCCTCCCTGCCTCACCCTCATGTTGCTCGCAGCTTTTCTGGGGCCAACGGCAAAGCAGAAGAATCAGAGGCAGCACAGCTTTGCAAGCTGGCCACCTCCAGCAGCACGGTGCTGACAACACTGGCCACTGCAGGCAGCACAGCTCCGTAAGCTGGCCACGTGCAGCAGCACAGTGCAGTGCTCACAACACTGGCCACTGGAGGCAGCCCAGCTTGGCAAGCAGGCCACCTCCAGCAGCAGTGTGTTGACGACACAAACCACTGCAGGCAACACAGCTGTGCAAGCTGGCCACCTCCTGCACCGCCTTCCCACAGCCAGGCATATTTATATTTACACCATATCAGTGAATGAAGACGCGAAAAGGCAACAGAAGCCAACCGAAAGCCAAAAGCCACCAAAGGATAAAGGAATCGTTTGGATGAAAACATCTGGTAGCTGTGCCTCGGACTTCACATTCCTCCAAAGATGGACTAGTAGCAAACAGCCACAAAAGCCAAAAGCCACAAAAGCCACAGAAGCCACAAAAGCCAAAAGCCACAAAAGCCACAGAAGCCACGAAAGCCACGAAGCCACAGAAGCCACAGAAGCCACGAAAGCCAAAAGCCACAGAAGCCACGAAAGCCACGAAGCCACAGAAGCCACGAAAGCCACAGAAGCCACAAAAGAAAAACAAAAAAACCAAAAAAAAAAACACCTAAATTAAATGGCAATCCTTTTATAAGGGCCTCAAGGCCCACTTATCTGTAGGGGAAATTCACACCGGGATTTATTTGGATCATCATCACTAACGCGTGGAAAACTAACATGGACCCTGAAAACCACTGGTTTGTAGAGGAAAACAGTCTTTCAGGGTTCCATTCTCAGGGTCCATGTTAGTTTTCGAGCGTGTATCAAGTAAGAATTTACAGTAGCGCCATCAGTCAACCCGAACGGTGATTGCAAAAAAGTGAGTGCTAAGTGAAGCACACAATCTGCATAGTGTCGTTGAGAAAAGCATGGACAGGATTGGCTTGTGACCCGTAGTCCTTTCTTGCCAACATTTGGAGAGAAACACACATAAAAGAACTGAGACATAAAGACATAGAACTGGAATATTCACACTCAAGACATCCCAAGGCAAACACCTTCTTATACCAAGTCCCAAAGCCAACGGTGGCAGTAAACAACGAAGGGCCGCCACTCAGTAGATGTCTCTTACGGTGCGGCCCGGCCTGCCTCTGTTTGGGAGAAACGGAAGACGTTCCACCCCCAGTATTTCCAGGGCTCCAAACATATCCTCAGAAGGTGGTTAGACGCCCAAAACCCACCCCAACCACCTTCTCAGGAGGCAGTTGGAGCACTACGGTACAGCAATTTGATGTAATTTGGTATATATATATATATATATCCATGTATATCCGATGACCAGCACCCAGAGAGGATGATGGCCATGGCATGCCATGGCTATGATGACCAGGGCCCCGTGGATGATGGCTAGTAATTAAAGGCTTTTCTCAAGAATTGTGAGAAGCTTTTCGGTACCACTCACTAGTCTTGCCACTCCTCCACTCACAACCACCGGCACCAACAACGCATCCACCTGGGGTCTCAAAGTAGCTTGCCAACCCAAGGGCAACACAAAAACGTATGACATCGTATGACTGTTCCTTTTCTATGTGTTCTAATGTTTTTTATATATCTTTTCATTCCCAATTTTGCAGAATTAGTAGAATTTGCTGCAGCCGAGCAGCTGCCCCCATATCTTCGGTCACTAAAAAACAGGCATGGCACAAACCGCGCCTCACCAGAAAGAAGATCCAGGGATCCACGTCGGGCCGAGGTCGACCACGCGCGGGTCGACGACGCACCGTCGACCACCACGGTCTCACCGGGCGTCGCTCACGCGCTCGGGCGAGATGATGGGGTTCCAGGGGATCCAACAGAGATGCCTCGCGAGCGAGGCCGGTCCGTCGATCCGCCCCGTTCCGCAAGCTCTGGAGCAGCTCCGGAGGTGTCTGGGGAGAGTTGTCTGTTGATCAAAGAAGGACAATCAGCTTAATTCATGTGATGTTCCAAATCGCTTTTTGAAAGCTGCGTCTTGAAAGTCGCGGAATCCAGTCCGGAAGGTCGAACCGAGGTGAAGATGGAGGTTGGTTTCTTTCCCTTGGTCAACATCGGCGATCATCGGTTTTTCACCTCAGTCGAAACGCTTCGGGCGAACGAACAGGTCGAAGAAGGCGAACGAACAGGCGAACGATGGATTTCGCCGGTTCGCTGCCAGCAGCTGCCACAGCGCCGAGATTGAAAAACCGTGATGGCTTTGGTCGCTTGCTCGCTAGCAGTATCGATGCCAACAAGATGTGGTTTGTATTGTTGAAGTCTGTTTCTTGTTCCCTTCAGAGTTCTTGGATTCATCATGTCGGCTCTGTCCGACCTCTTGTAGGACTGCGCGCTGTAGGAAGGATCAGGCGCAGGAAACACCTGAGCTCAAGCCAATGCCTTCAACTCAATGCCCTCCAGCCGGAAAATCACGCGCACACACACACACATGTGAATGCGGGGTCAAGACCACACACTACAAACCATGGAAGGTCAACATCCCTTAAAAGAAAATCTTTTCATTTTCGGGGTCAACCAAGGTGTCCCTAGGTTTGACTCACAGCTATATCAACATGAGACCTATAACTGCACAATTGACACAACACACCGTTCCTCAACGAGTCAGCGTCCCCAAATGAGAATCCTGAGGCCAGGGATGCGTCTCCTCTTTCTGTCCGGACTATGCGTCTCCTGAGATCTTCACTTCTTTTGATTGAACCCATGAGTAAAGAACCAAATCGAAGACTAAAAGTTCACATCATGTCACATCCATCTTTTGCATTCCCTCCTTGTCCTACTCCTGCGCTCCACTTCTTCTACTCTGATCCTCTTCTCTGCTGTCCCTGGTCCCTCACGCAGGTTTAAGATAATCCTGCAGCCAAACTTGATTCCTCCCCCAACATCTTGCCCACCATGCTCATCATCATCCCACCCCACCTCAAACCTCTTGCATTCCACGCCACGAAGCGATTCCCCAGCGTCGTCCCGCTGGGCATGGCGGTCTTCGTCACCGCGCGATCCGTCGGTCACCGAGAACGCACGGGGACGCGGTCGCCCATGGCGAAGAACGCGGGGCCGCGCCGGTCAAAAGCGGTGACAGTCGGGTTCGGATGGAGGTAGCCTAGAAGGTTGAGAGGAGGGAGGGAAATTAAACAGGCATTCTTTTTGCTAGTAGCGTCGTCCTTGTTACAGTAGCGATGGCCTCCACCTAGTAGCTTCTTGCTACTGGCTTTGGAAGGTTTATTCTTTTGGAATCAATTGAACTGGATAGGCTGGTAAATCTATAGTGTCCAAGTGACCTTCCATTTTGCGTAATGATATCTAAGACGGGCGAGGGTTACATTGAATCAATCCTGAAACCAGTAGTTGCTCATCCAATTGTAGATATGATGCATCCAACTTGTGTGTTCTGTGTTGCTTCTGAAAAAAGAAAACTCAGTTGGTTCCTGGTGCCAAGCCAAATCATGTTGCTTCTCTAACGAGTGTAACTTTGGAGTGATTGAAGTTGTATACTCTCCGCTAACCAGGCTTTCACATGAAGTTGAAAAACACAATCAGTATCTATATAGTCTATAGTAATATAGTCTCAAAGTACCGTACATGAAAAGTTGCAAGTTGTTACAAGTGAGTATATACAAGTGAGTATATAAATATTATTGTTAATATATATTCTCATGTTTTTGATGGGGTCATGTCATACTCCTGTCTCAGGGTCGGTCACTATTGCAATCGGTTCCATAGCATGGTCTTTGCCTCGCTTCTCGGTTTGAACGTGTTTGAACCAGGATAATCGGCCAGTCGAGAGGCATCATATCTTAGCAAAGAACAAGAACAAAGAAACACTGACAAAACCGTTAACCCAAAACCGTGTCCCTTCTTCCAAAAGAAAGAACAACGCCAAAAAAGACGTGTTGCCAAAAGGGTCCATCCCAAGAAAAGGAGTTCGTACCAAGTATACTGTATAGAGCATCCCTTCAGAAGGAAAACAACTGAGAAGGTATTGCTGGTACCTCAGGATCCCATGTCCCTTGATTCTGTATAGGAAATCTGGATGGGGATCCTTTTGGGCAGCTTGATATCAAAGTCTGAGTCTGATCTGGTCTTCTCGTAAACAGCGCGTTCGGTTCGAACAAGCGTTCTTCCCAATCAGAAGGAGCTCTGCTCACCGAATTCATCAAGCCCTAGCCTCCTTTGGACATGGTGGGACTGGTATAAAGTACATGCAATACGCCCTGGTTCCGAGACCCATATGGAACCTGAAAACCACTGGAATCGTAGAGGAACACAGTCTTCCAAAGGTCTATGCCATCAGGTTCTATGTTAATCTAGTCTTGATAGGCAGCTGGATCGGACGGGCCGGCCGTCCCAAATCGCAGCCCCAAATCCCGTAATTTTGTGAAATCGACGTGCTTTAGAATCAGCATCTAATCACCAAGGTAGTCGCCTTTTTTACGGTTCAATCGCCTTGGGCGACAAATCATAGGACAACTGCAGGAAAGATGCTTAAATGTCCTCATCATATTTGCATGTTGCGTGACTGTGCACAACAGTATTGGGTTGGCTTTTGCCAATTTGAATGGATTGTTGCATGATGTCGGATGTGGTTACCGGTTATCTTTGTTTTTTTGGAGCCCATGGCTTTACATGGTTTGGTACACTTTCTCAGCATAACTGCTCCCTCCCTACTAAAGATACTAAAGTGATCGACACTTGTTTTGACCTTGACTCGCAAATTGCTTGTTGTTTCTCTTTGCAGGAGGGTGGCGATGGCGAGCTAGTCTGGACAGGTATGCTACAAACAATTATGCAGTTTCAGATCTTTCCCTTTGATGCTACAGCGGAACATTGGTATAGGTATAGGGGAATGTAAGTATTCAGTAGTATCCAGAATATACACACCAAGGACCTTGGACTTCCAAAAGCAAACAAGATCCTTGTTCCTTCCTCCGGTCAAATTCAAGCAAAAAGAAGCATGCGATCCCACACGTGGGATCACTATATCGACAGAAGCTTATTAAAAAAACATGTAACGATACATAGGCGTCTCAGGTGTGAAAGGATGCCTATCTGGCCTCCCAAAGTATCCTGGAAAATTAAACAAAACAGGTACTTGCATCCATTTTTTTCAAAGGTACTTTGAGAGTCGAAGTAGGACAGTACTAGTGCCTATATTATATATATCATATATACATATATGTTGACTTTGGGTCACTTGTCTACTAGGCTCGACTTATATTAGATGTATACACTTTTCCAGGTCCGAAGGGTCAGGGTCTCGTTCTTCTTTTTGAGACCGTCCTTTCTTGGTCAACAGACTTGCCCTACCGAACGGTGGCAAATCTAGCCCTTACAGGTCCAGTCTGACACAGACAGATCCAAACCTGTTCCTGAAAATCTTCATTAAGGAGCGTTTAGCATAATCTCCAGTAAAATGAGGCCAAACTGACCTCTAGCACTGTAGGGTATTGTAGACTCTTGACTGTGACAAAACACACCCCCAATATGAAGAGTTTTTACATTCCACATGGGTGTGGGGTGGAGACCTGCAGTCTAGTAAGGCCACCGATGATGCTGAAGGCTGAAGGTCTTTGGCCCAGCCCCCTCCTACACACCCCAGTTATCCACTCACAAAGCTGTCCTGTGCCGTGTTCTACGTAGGCGCCTCACCCAAAGATGTCATGAGACCTACATATTGACCCCCGAAAACCAACCAGGTCCCACCAGTGATATGAGATAAATCTGCCAGATCCCACACAGGTCGATCGCTGGTATAAATCGCTGGAGATCCCTTACGTCCCGCAGAAATCACCCTCTCAGAGGGTGGTGAATCCTACCAGTCTCAGTCGGGGGTTCAGGTACTCACCATCCCCTTGGTCTGACTGGTGCTTAGACTTAGTATGGAAGGTTTCGCTTCCCAAATAGAGATTCCTTTGGATCCAGCCACCCTCAGCCACCCTACTTTCATCGTCGCAATTTCGTCAGTTGTTGGGCACCTTTGTACGTTCAATCCTGAGATCCCAGGCGTAGACGGCGCAAATGCCATCGGCATGTCCCAGGACCGGGATGCGGGAGGCGTCCTGATTGGGAGTGTGACAATCACCAGCGGTCGAGGCCGTCTGAGTGGGGCATAACTCCACATACCAGTATCAGGATGTATCAGGATATTCGGAACATGCTCATTCCAGGGGGCCAATTCGCGTCAATTCGACACTCATGGACAGCTGCAGCTGCTCCTGATCCCGGCACCAGCGCTCCAACACCCATCAACACCCGCACGTCTCCTCGCGCGGCGTCTCCTCGCCACCTCCGTGGTGGGAGACCCCGTCCTTGATGGAGCGAACGAGCTCGTTGGAGCCACGCGGGATCACCAAGTCGATGTACTTGTCCTGCGACGTCGGGGCCCCCTTCGCACGTCGCACGCGGCACACGGCCCAGGAGCGTCGGAGCGCGGAGCGGAGCGTCTGTCGGTGCTGGACAGCGGGTCCAAGGAGGATTGGAGGAGGTTAATACTTGCTGTTTGTTCATCTGTAGCCAAACACAAGCGGACCGTTGCGTTATACGGCGTATTGAGTTCTACATGGATCACCCAATATTGCAACCTGATCTTCCATCCCTACAGATCCAGTCTGACCCAGATCCCAACCTGGTCCTGAAAAACTCATCATTGAGTCATTGAGTGGTGTTTTTAGCATGATAAACTTCAGTAAAGTGAGGTGACTTCCTGCCACCACCCGATGAAACTCATTGGATGCTTGGCGCTAGGCGCATGCCTCGAGCATCTGTCAAGTCCGGCGAATTAATTTTGGGTACCTGGACCCGACGACTCGTTCGTACAATAAAGTGGTATGTTCACCCTATGGATCCAATCATACCCTCCTGAGGTGATTGACGAGCCAACATCTTTTGACACAAAGCTGTGTCAAAGCTCCATAGTTGGGGAAATGCATGCCCTAGGGCCTTAGGGCTCCAAATCCACCCAAGTCCCACTTTCTCAGAATTGGAGCCCTATTGTTGGAGTCCATCTGTGATTTCGTTGTAGTCGTCACGTCTCAATTGCGAAGGTACGGACCCAAACAAGTCGTCGGCTCCAGGTGTCCAACGGCGGCTTCAACTGGGTCGGTTGAAGCCTTTCGTCACCAGAGTTCCAAGAGCGTCACCGATCGGCAGAAAAGAGTATGACTACAAGGACCAAGTTTTACTTGGTCCTTGGACTGGTAAGGATATTTCAAGGCCGTGGGCCACTGCATCATTTGCAGCTCCTGTTCTGCCCAAAAATGCTGAAACTGAGCCCACAATGCGTTGATTTTGCCCGGAACTTCGTTCATGTTGAGGAAACCAAGACCAACAATCCTGTTCTCAACATTCACAGCCACCTTGGCCACCTGACTTGCTGAATGGCATCACTTCCCAATCCCAAACACGACCTGTCTGGGACTGGAATATATATATGCACAATCAGATCCTATCAGTTGGGGTGGTTGACCTGGGGCGGCATACTTCCAAACGGGTCGTCGTGTCTGGGAAGATGAGTGGAATACTGCAGGGCACAAAGCCCGAAGCCAGGCGCGAAGCCGGGCACAACCTGCTTCCCCCAAAAAAGAACACCGAGCGGGCGACGCCGAGCCGAGAAAGCTCTGAGTGTTTCAGGCGCCGGACCTGCTTCAAAAGCTCTGAGACTTCAGTGCGGGTGTCAACACCTGGAAGGAGACGACACACAGCAGGGAGTGAATGACACTTAGTAAACTATCCTGACTGCTAAGTAAACTAAGCAGGAAAGCATCGTCACTAATCTAACTTTCCTGACTTACTTAGATTAGAGAGTGGAAAGCATCGTCTAAGACTAAGGTGGTCCTTGAGCCCGTCAAAGCACACAGTGAGCTTCCAGAATTCACGGTTCAGAGACAGTAATTCGCGGTGACTTCCTTCAGATGGACTGGGCCGGACACGTGTTGCTTTTGCTACCAAATATGTTTTTGCCAACTATGTTCCTCTAGGTGCATCTGCACTTGGGGAAACACTTGGAGAGCCTGGAATGTTTCTCTGAGCCGGTCCAAGGACACGTGGTACGAAGATGTTTCACCCCGAAACCAACCATCCCGCCTTTGAAACCCAGTCCATGTGTGAACTCTCTGACT